AGTTCTTTTGTTAAAAAAAAATTTTGTATTCCCTTACCATTCTCACATATCTGACACTATAAAAAGTTACTTGGAGTGTTTTGTCAGTACAAAGTATGAATGCAAATGTAGCTAGAGCAAAATGCTTACTCAGTTGGATAAAGCTGAAATGTATAAACAGCATATGGACTCATCAGCCATAAAAAGAATGTGTTGCAATAATTACTTCAGTTCATGTTTATGTAAGTCTGTAATTTCCTGGATATCTGAAGCAGAAAAACACAACATCCTGGCTACTATGTTATCTAGATATCTGAGTAACTCAGGCCATTTGCCACACCAATGACCAAACAGGTCATCTCACAGTAGATCAGCTGATCAAATCTTTATACAAGGGAATTCATAAGTATTATATTTTCAAGTCTACTCCATGAAATAGAAGGCCTGGTAAATGAACGGAAGGCATGGGTGCAGGAAAAGCCACAAATCCCTAAGAAACTTGAAATTATTCAGTTGATATTTTGGAAAGTGCCTAGCGACACCGAAGTACCATTACATACTATAGGGACAAGACTTCCCTAAATATGCAAAAGTAGCTTAATATTTAGAAAACACCACTACAACACTTCTCTTAAATGCCTACAAAAGAAGAAAAATATGGCAAGTGAAACACAAATCTCAGTTATTTAGAAAAATAGCATCCTGTGCCCCCCTAACCTTTGTGTATAAAGGCATATTGACAGATTGTATATAAAAGGCAGATCACCTCTGATTCTACTAATATTTAGTTGTTCTTATTCAAGATTAACAAGATATTTTGCAATCCAATGATGTGATCATGGTAGGAGCCTCAAAAAAACCCCAATTATCGATTCTGTTTTATATTCCTTTTCTGGTAAAACCATACTACGTGAGCACCAGTCCATGACTGAAGGGAGGGGGGGAACCAAACATAAATTTATACTGAAATATTGCCAAAAAATACCTTAACTAGTAAAGATTGTACTAGTTAAGACCCAATATCTCTGAATTTATTCTGCTAGAGAGCATCAGAAGCAAACTTTTTGTGTCTTAGTAATGTCATTCAACATTAATTTTTAGCCTTTATCAATGGTTAAGAATTTGATTCATCATCTGAATCACAGTCCTGAAAAAGTCTGTGAAAAAAAATTCTCTCTGTACCAAAGGACTAGTAATGCTTTAATAGAATGATTTAAAAATGTTGGCTTTTTGTAACAGTTGAAAATCTAGCCAAAATCATAGTGTGGCTGAGCAGGTGGAAGAGACTCAGCCACCTCTGATTAAATGAATGCTAAATGCCATAAAGTGTGATAATTAGACATGCTTAATTTTTTTCCTCTGTCTTTGATCACACATTTCTAGTTTTACTGTTTTTTCCAAAGAAAGGTAAGAGTCCATTTTCCTCTCTTTCATGAAATAAATAGTCACGAAGAACCTAAGGACACAAAGCTAAGGAAAAGAGATGATCTGCTACTACTAAAATGACACCTAATGGTATTAATTTAAATCTGCTTGCCGAATTATTTTCTCCAAATAATAATCTTCCCAGCAGGTATATAGTTTCACCAATTTCTGTATTTTAATATTGGGATATGAGATATCTTTTAGTATTACTGCTATTTACAGCACAGAAGTCTACATAAATTTGTCAGCATACTCTAGAATTTCTATTTGAGTTTTTTTTTTTTTAAAGCCTTTGCATTTCATGAAAAACTTCTGCTTTCATATTTATACTTTTTAAGAAAATCAGCCTCATAGGTAAAAATTTGTCAAACCTTCTACCTCTAAAACTTTTAGTTCTTGTTGACTTCCATTAAAAGTACAGAAGGCAACCAAAAAGCAGTAATTTTTTTCTTTCAAACAGATTATTCCAACAATCAAAATAGCAGTTTCTGTGTGTTCTAGCATCTGCTGAGACACAAAAACAATTAGGGTGAAATCACAGCTCTAATTAAGATAAGGTGCTTGACTTCAACAGGGATTGTGATTTCACTCTTGGAATAATTCTAATTTGGGAACTGTTTGCGCAGTTAAGCATGTGGCACAGAAAAGACTGGCATCATCTACATAGTGCGTATGCCATCTGTATGCTTAAATTGGAACAGTATCTCTCAAGTAGCCATTTTCTAGAATTTAATTCCCTTCAGTTGCAATCTGGAACATAACTTTGTGAGCAGAAGGGAATTAAACGTTACTGTGCAAAAACCATAATACCAAGTTTCTACTTCAACAAGAACTAACTCCAAATCTGTTTTTCTTCTGTAATGACAAATACCGTTTTTTCATGGAAACATGCTATTAAGCCACGTGTAACTGTTACAGACAACCATCACAAATTTACCTCAACAGGGTTATACAGAAACAGATTCTTCAGTTAACCCTTAACAGCCCAAAGCAGTACAAATAATGTTTAATGCCTAAAAAAAGGAGGATCGTTCCTCAGCTTAGGAACTTTATAATAGAGTTCCTGGAGAATGAGTTTAAACTGTAATTTTTTTAAAGGGGCTTCCTAAATGCATGAGTTGAGGATCCCCTTTCCTTTTTTTTTTTTTTTTTTTAAATAATAGGCTGTAAAGAGTTAGTTAAGGTGCTGATGAGATGAATATGAAGGCAGGGCTGAGTAGGTAAGTGGGACCTACTCGTGTTCCGTTATCTTTGTTGTAAAATTGGTGTGCGTGATCTAACAGGACAGGCAGAAACAATTTCCCAGAAAGCAGTAACATTCAGCCATCAGCAGGCAGTTAGTTACAGGACTGAGGAAGAAATGGCATGGTTCATTAAATTAATTACCTCACAGGATGAAGATTGCGTGCGATAACTTGGCACAATCTTAAAGGTGATACTTCCACGCATTTCCCTCTGCAAAAAGAGAAGCACTTCTTTAAAGACTAAGACACTGAAGACAAATCTCCAAATCAGTAGTGCTTGAAAGGAAAGCATCATAGTTTGAGAGCAGCAGTATGTTTTCCTAAAGTAAATATTCAGAAAAGCTAAAATGCTATGGTTCATTTGTCATTTCACTCAGAAACAAACATTTAGATCATCTCTCATTAATCTAAAAGATAAACATACATTATTAGTTTGTTCGCCTGACCAGCTTTTGAATGCCTAGAACCTACAGCTGTATTTTAAGGTGAGGAATTCAGAATTCTGCAGAATAGCAGCAGATTGTGGCAACATATTTCCTCAGCCCTATTTTCTTAAATGACAGTTCGAATATAAGTGCCACCGCAAGGCTGACAACTGCAGGACTCAATCTGGGCAGAAAGGTAAGCAGATTACTTCGAATGATCTTGCAGTTTTTCTCCTTTCTCTCTTTGGCTGGCTTATTGTAAGCCAAAAAAATGCTATTTGCCTGGACTCACTTAAGCTTGTCTGTATAGTTCTGGACACAACAAAAAGATTAGTGATATCATCCAAGATCCCAAGATTAGGGTTGCATGCAGAAAAATATGCAAGTGTTATGAAATATCAAACTGACTCTACTAGCAAGGCCCAAGATGGAGATTTTCTGCAAAAAGCCAGACTGTCTGATCTCAAAATATTTTTTTCTTTGTAACATCAATAACCATGAGCCACAATAGTTATAAATTGAAAGAAGGGATCTTCCAGCTACATATAAGGAACACATTTTTCCCTGTGATGATAATTATGGAACAGGTTGCCCAAAGAGGCACCTGTCCTGTCAAATCTCTGTCCTTGGATATTTTCAAGGCTTAATCAGACAAAGCGCTGAGCAACCTGGGCTGAATTCAATGTTGACCCTGCTTTGTGCAGGAGATTGGACTGGAGACCAGCTGACGTTACTTCCAACCTGAATGGTTCTATGATTTATTGTCTTTGTATTTGTGTAGCAATTATATCAATAGGCAGGAAAAGTTTCTTTTCTCTCATAGTATACTCAGTGACTACACTTAGTGTAGACTGAAGATTTAAAGGGCATGATCTTTATAGACTAACTTGGGATAAGTACTAGGAGGAAAGCAGTATTTTTTCTGATATGTCTACTAGAGACAAGAGAAGAAACTCCTGCATTTCAACACAGGAAACTCAGACATTAGAAAAAACTTTCTAAAACATAGAAGAGTTACAAACTAAAGTCAACTGCCCAGAGAGTTTGGGGAAACTCCATTACTCAAGTTTTTTTAAGAGCTGGTCAGACATATGTCCATCAGGATTGGTTGAGTGTCAATGATCTTTTCCGTGCGATTATATGGAATAAATAAAATGACACCTGGAGGTGCCTTCTACCATTCCTGGGTACAACATGCAAAAAAGCCACTACTAAAAAACAGGGGAGAGCCTGTAGAAGGCTTTAACAGCTGAACACAGGAAGACTTTGTGTTACATGCACATGTAGGCTATCAAGAAAAGAAGAAAAAAGGGAAGTCACAATGCAATTACTTAAAAATTTTGTCAAAATAAGACAGGCAGTTCCATAAAGAACATGAGAAAGATTGCAAGCACTTACAAGCATTTTTTGTAGTTGTTCTACAGTTTGATTTGCCACACTGATTCCGTTTATTTCTCGGATTTCATCCCCTACGTGTAGCGTACCTGTGGAGTTAACAAAACACACAATCACCTCAAACATGTTTTTACACATTGAGATAATTGTAAGACAGTACTAACATTCATATGAAGGCATAAATATGAAACAATGTTAAAATAAGTTTTTTGGCTAGATTCAGAAAAGGACTTTGGTAACTACATTTTAGGCACCAAAGATTACGAATCTGTCTTTCAGAGTGCAGTCAATACACCAGCATGAGATGCCCAGGCACCCTATAAAGTATATGGGGAAAACATCAGTCCCTTACAAGGACACTGCAAAATCCCACACCTTGAAAAGAAAGTCACCTGCAACTAGTCAGTTGGAAACGTTCAACAGAGACATTCAAGCAGTATTTTATCAGGTGACTACTTAATGCAGTTTGGCTTCTGGACATAGTTGTAATTTTATCTGTCAGACTGCTGTATTTTTTCATTTCTCTGATTTTGATTTGCCATAGTTATAGTATGCATTTTCTGTATGTACACTTGACTTCAGCTTGAATGTAAATGATTGGTGTGACTACCTACAATGTCAGATGATAAAACGAGTATCTACTTAGGCAAGTCATAAACTGACCTGCTGAAGCTGGGATGGGAATGGCATGCTACAACATGGCTCTAAGACACTACAAAAGCTCAACAGGGAGGAGGCAGTGAATGAATTAATTATCTTCAGGATTAGAAGCAACCTAGGAGGCTCTTTTTGGATGATAATTTCTGACTTGAGTAGCTCAAGGCCACCTAATTCTCTAGCAGTTCCCCCAAAAAACTTCCATCATTTATTATTAGCCAGAAGATGTTTTTCATATGTAATGAAATATGACAAGACCATTTACTTCACATATATTTCTTTCTGCTGTATGATTTAAATAATTTGTGCAAGTATCCTTTTCTAAATACTGTACCTAATACGATTACTGTACCTAATATAATTAATCTTACTTGGAAAACTAGCAACTGGCAAACATTTCCTAAACTAAAACATATCTATGGAGAATTACCTGAAAAAAGTCAATCAACTAGAACCCTGAGAAATCCTTAAAATTCTTTTCCTGAACCAAAACAGTCAGTTTTTCCAAAGAATACCATGCAAGCAAAACTTTCAGCTGGACAAATGTATGAAGAAATCAAACTGTGTGCCTGCTGAACACAAGCACAGCCTGAACCAAGGAGAAGAATCCTGAAAAGCTCTGTTGCTACGATTCCCTTTGGGCTCTCTTCTGCGAAACAGAAGCTCACTTGGCAGTGCTGCAGGAGAGAGCCCAAAGTTTACAAAAACTTTCAGTACTCTCAACAGTCCTTCAGCCACATTAAATGATCCAAACAATTCTACAGGAGCTGATCTGCTGATAGTGAAATTATAAAAAAGGACTCATCACAGTTCTTCTTCACTCTTCAGTGGAAAAATTATCACAATTAATAGTTTACTGAATGTGAATGCAACAGTCCTGCATCTGAATTTCAAATTAATCTAGTTTACATCTAGAATATTAATGACTAAATCTCTAGTGAAACACTTAGAAAGTTCAGTTTTGGCAGACTTTCTCAAGAAAGCATTCAATACCCAATTCTTAAAAAAAAAAAAAATTCTAAAAAAAATGAGGCTCTGTGTTAACTGTATCATGCCAAAATTAAATTGTGTTTGAAGTGAGTTTAATTGTTATTAAACAATAATATTGAATCAGAAAGAGCATATGCCCTGGATTAGTATAAAGATTCTTTGGCATTCTTCAAAATAGAAATCTGATGGAATTAAATACTAGAATGAGAATCAGACTCAGTAATATTCCGGTATCAAATCATTTCAATAGCGCACTTAAATAAAATCCCCTCTTCTGGAGCATTTCCCATTTCTGTTATTCTGACAGAAGTGAATATTGTTCTGTTCATGCCTGGAATGGAGCAGTATACATAAAAGTTGGGAATAAAGCATGGACATTTAGCAGTAGATGGTCATTTTATTTTGGGAGGTGGATGCATTGATAAATCACAGGACGACATTTTCAATCTGAGGCAAAAGGCTTTCATTATTTGCAGAAACTTTTTACTCTTTATAAATATTCTTGACGGAAGAGTATTCTCGACGTCTTTGAATAATGAGTCTTCCACACCATCTGTGACTCCCATGATACCTATGCTTAACCATCTGATTTTGGTTGCTTTTGTTTCCTTTTCTATTGGCAGTGCTGTTTTTATTTAGAACTTAAGCTATTAATGACTTACTGATGTATAACACATCTGTAATAACAAAGAATGGATGTATTTCTGGAGTAAATGATTTCCTTCTTTTTCTTTGCAAGTCAGAGTGAAGACAGTTTTAGGAAGTGTGTGCTCTTGCTCTGCACAGAAGTATGACAAATCCTACCCTATTAGGAAGAAGACAGAACAAATTCTTGGAATCCCTATTTGGAAACATGTTTTGTAGCCAAAAGAAAATTCTGTAGCTTGGAAATTGAAAGGCTGTGAACGTATAACCATATTTTCACCAAGCAATCACATACATTTTGTTAGAATTGAATGAACATTATCAGGGGTATCAGTGTTTTAAAAATCGGCGTGAGTTTTACCTTAATTCACTTCAAGAACGTAGCACAGACAATGTACAACTGCTGCTTTTCTAGTGAGGTTAAATGGGCAGCCAATAAGTCCTCTCTCTTCTTTGGAAATCTTTTTAAATGACATATTAGGACCTCTTCTTATATGCATTTTAAGAACGAATTCACATTTAAGCATGTATGCCCCAAAACCAGTCAGCAGAAAAACCCTATGGGTTAAGATGCTGAGAGCTGCTGAGAACTCAGGCTATATGCAGATACCCTGAAAATAATATTAACAGTATGAGTAGTCTAAACAGAATCCACAGGTAAAAAGTGAATGGACAACTGAGCTAAGTTAGGGCACAGACACAAAGGTGAAAGCCAAGTCATAATTACAAGACTGAGATCTAAGATACAATCCATTTACTTATCCTAAAAAAGCAGACAATGCTTTTTTGCAGACAAAAGCAACAACAAAAAGACAATTTTTAATGACTGAAACTGGTGTTTCATTTTCATTGAGCTCAATCCTCTGGAAGGTGCAAGTAGATAGCATCTTTACAAGCCTATCTCCTTACTTCAACTTCCCCACCTTTTGAATAAGGACAACTATAATCATCAGGACTAGATACAGCTGGCATAGAGATAGGAGACAGACTGCACAGCAGGTACTATTTTGTGATTGGGAATTGCGCAGTTTGTATTTAATATTGCTAGACCTGAAATTATATAGTTCCTGTAACCCTCCCAGTAGATCTATTATCTAGTCATTGCTGTTATTGCCTGGCAGTTTTCCATATAGCAAGAGGAGACAGCAGAAACAACAACGTAAAAAACCCCGAAACAAACAAAAGCCACAGACCCTGTCAATAGGATTCAAAGACATGCTGTGCTTGAGATCACTGTCAACTTACATTTGCGTTGTTCTATTCAGTAAAAATATTCTAAATATAGGTATTTTGAACGAAGCAGTGAAGCTAAGAGGCATCTAGAGAACTAAAAAAATTAGAAACATTTTAAAAAAAAAAAGATGGCAATACTACAGAAACACCGAAGAACAGTTCATTTTCAAACTAAACCTATGTGCAGAAGAGCTACCTTAGTTAGATGAAGCACATACAGAATGGGTTAAATTTCCCAAATTTTTAGAAATAAAAGACCCTGTATAATTAAAAAGAAAAGAACAGAGTTCTAATGGGCATAGTTGGATTTTTTTACCCAGTTTTAACAGGTTTTAAAAGTTTTATTACCCCCATTATGGAACATAAGTCATGTGAAACAATGCTCTGCAGAGGATCACCACTACCTAAGTACATTTGGATGAAAACCTTCTTCTTGTGAATCTTAAGAGCAATCTCCTTTTAAAAGTTACTTTTAGAAGCCAAATAAATTTCAATTCAGAGCGTCCTCTATAGGAATACAGAAGTCTAAATAAATTGCATCTGTGCTTGTATGAAAAGTTTTATCTTTCCTGCTTCTTGACAGGTTGGATCACGTCAAGGGGACAAAGTGAATGTATCAGGGAAAGGATTGCTGTACCTTTTCCCTGTTTCATGTTTTGTCTTCCTAATTACCTGTTCCTAGCTTCCTTTGAAATAGTACAGTAGGCTAGAAGGAACTTTGGTCTGAAAAATGATGAAAATTTTTGTGTTCATCAAAAGAAAAAGATGGCAAACTGGAAAAACTAAAGTAACCCTTCTAAGGGTGCAATCCAAACTTGCAGCTAACAACCTAGCAGGGAAGTTTATCTGTTTAAAGTAGGACAAAGCACAGCTATTTTTTGACAGCTGATCTGGACACAAAATGGAAGAAAGGAGTAGACTGAAGATGAGAAAAGATGCATGTCTGCAGGGTTTGCTATAGTAGTGAAAACTGAAAATAAAGATTCAAGTTCTAGGCACAAGAAATATTTTTATTTCACAAATCATTTTTATAAGCCTCAACATCAAAAGTACAAAGATCCTCAAGAATTGTGTGAAAATATACAGAGACATTTAAATTTTTTGTTCAACAAAGCTCTTCCATTTTTGCAAGGAAAAGTACTGTAACTAGTCTAAGGATTTTTTTTTTCTTTTTAAACAGAGGATTAAATAAGTACAGCTCCAGAAATTATTGGCATTTCAATCTCTTCCTGAGCTATACTCCCATTATCCTAATTTAGGCCTAAATGAAACATAGTGGGCCCTCATCTCAAAACGCTCAAAGACGTCTGCAGCTGGAACGTAACAAAGGCAGTTAACAGGACCCCATCCAGATACAGAGGTACACTACTATGGATTAGTAGCAAACAAAACGAGGAGCATGTACCATTACATGGTTTGTACAAAATGATCTAAATAATTATATTTGAAGACAAAACTATTTATGACACATGATTACCTTGCCGGTGAATCATTCCTCCGTGCATAATTCTTGCCACAATGCAATGGTTCAGCTCATTCATTTTTAAAGTGATTCCCTACAAAAAGAAATGTTTATACTCTTAAAACATTAAGCTGTGCGATTCTTGAGTGGTTACAAACAGTCACTTTTCCTAAAAGCTTGAAGGCAGGGTATAAATTTTAAAGTTAAAATAAAAACTTTGCCACTCACATGAGTGAGCAATGAAAACAGATGCTATTTATAAGTGAACATGCAATAATTTAATATATGAGCATATAAGATTCTGGTTTGTTAAAAATGTAATTTTGTATTGAAGTGCAAAGTGTCCAGTTTGGTTTAAAGCCTAGTCTGCTATAACTACTACAAGGTTGTTTTTAAACAAAAACAGCTCTTGTGATACAGCAGTAGTATGAATGCACACGTAGCATTTTAAGTTAAGGATATACACAGGAGTATAAGTATCTACAATGGCTGCTGAACTATTCCAATTATACTGGCAGCCCTACTTCAAAGTGCAGAAACTCGTTTAAGTCATTATAATACTGTTCTTTACCAGTGCAGAGTCAAGAAAAATACCGAGGTTCCCTCCGTACCATTGGTTCATCTGTGTTCTTCTGGAACTGCACCAGTCGAACTCGTGTTACATTCTCCATATCCATGTCACCATTGGCGCTTTCTGGAGAATCTCCGTTTAAGTATGGAGAGGTGGGAGGAGGTGTAACTCTCAGCGCTTCATCACTGTAAACTTCATGTGCCACTACATCATGAGTTTGAAGTAAGGCCTAGAGGAGATTACAGCAACAAAATATCAGACCTCCATCATCTCTGATGCCCCCCACTCATTCCTTATACGTATTTTTGAAGCTTTCCAGAAATTAAAGGAAATTAAAGATATTTGTGCCTCACTTTCTATACAGGAACTTTTCCCTTAAAGGAGTCTAAGATAAACCTCAGCAGACTGCAAATGCATACACACATACCTAGCCTTTAAAATCTGTATAAGTAAACCTGATTTTCTACTGTAGATACCTCAGTGAGAATGATGCTGCTTCCCTCTTCCCCATCTTCTCGACACCTGCAAGGTGTCAGAATTAATCCATCTTTATTTATGTGCCTAGACACAGAATTAGGAAGCTACCTTTCTGAGCAAACTATTCTATAATAGTTAACCTAGTAAAATGAAAAGGTATTCAGATTCTGTGGTATGTCATTCTAATACAGACAGACTGTGGATCTGTACTGACTGAAAGAATTAAATACTCTTTTTTGTTGTTTACTAGCATAATCAATTCCATATTCTCCCCTTCCCCTAGAGCACGGACCCAGCACAACCACACTGAGTTCAAAATACCTGATAAAAATGACAATCTAAACCAACAAACTGCTCGAATACTACTTCATTAGTTTTACTCTGTTTCTTGAAGCAAAGAATAGTACAACATATAATTGATTAAATGTATTTAAATATCTTTGGTAAGCGGAACAACTGACTGTGTAAGAACTCTAAGCTAGGGCAAAGACACGAAGCCTCTATAACTGTAAAAGTGTAACATAGTATTATGAGACAAAAGTTGGACAAAGTGTAAACATTTGCAAAGCAGTATTCAGTAGTACCAGGCTTTTTTATGGTATGACATTCTGTTCTCCAGGATATCTTTAAGAGCCCCGTATCACATCCATTTCACATTTGCATTCAACTCTTAATGAGTATATTATAGCTAGCTTGCTTCTGTCTAAAAACTGAATACAATTTATATGTGAACATGCTACTTCTACTCCCATACTAACTCATCAAGGACCAGAGATAGATCCTGCCTCTATAGCCAAATGGATGGGTTTCTCAGACTGATAAATCAGGCCTAATTCTTACAATATCCTCTACAATAGTAGAGATATCAGCCACCGCCGCAGTTAGGTCAATCTATATTATACTTAACATCTTGTTAATTTTCATTTCAGTGCTCATAGTTCTTAACTTGCAAAACCCATCAATCTTGCAAGGCTTGAGATTGACCATCTAGAATTTGTTTTGGCAGAGAAATCTGACTCTGCAATATCTTAGTCTTCAATTAAAATGTTTAAGCAGAACTTAAACTGAAAAAAGTGATAAAAAACCATCCCTACAAGATGTATTTCTGAAGCAGAATCCAAGACAGAAATGGGATTTTCACGGCCTCTACAAAATCCTAAATTTTTTCCCAAGCTAGCACTTCTAAAGTGTACCATGTTATAAAAGATAACTTTATAAACAGTTTAAGTTCCATTTCCTCAAATCAGTTTCAAACTATAGTTGGGAATTCAGCATTATAATGATGGAACGGAATTCCCTAAACTAGCAATGCTCTGCTCTCATTCCCTCCTGTTTTTCCAGTGTTTCAAGCCCACCTACACAAATACTATTTTTAGTTAAATACTAAACTGTATCTGCATTTTCTGGTTTTCATCGTATTTTGTCAACCACTAAGCTCAAACTTGCAACAATTCCTCTGCATTAGTCTGTACTACTGAAGCAACATTTTATCTTTAGAGACCTGGACCATATGTAAGTTAACCACTTTAATTAAATCAATTCTTAATTTGATTTATTTAATTGGGTGTAAACTTATGTGTGAATATTCCTATATAGGTTTAGGGATTTAGCTTAATTCTCATTCTAGTATCTGAAAACTGTTTGCAGTTGTCCCAAGTAAGACAAGAGCATCCATGTGCAATCATGCCTTAACTCTGGCTGTTACAAAAAACATCCGTTCTAGGAGTGTGTGTGGTCTTGGCTTTGTGCGCAAGCACTCTTTAACAGAGTAGGACGATCTTCCGTGCTTCCTTCAGCTCCATCTATCAGCTTCGTGTACCTGCCTGTATCTGTTATAGTCTCCATGCTTTAATATTACATTTCTTATGTAATTCAGGGCTTTACATTTGCTTCACATCAAATACTTGCCTTGCATTATATTATATTTTTAGCAATAATATACACCTTGTAGGAGATAAAATTAGGGTAATTTGAACATTTTTAAAGGTTCATAATTATACTAGATGACTTCTGAATGTGTTAACAAAAATTAACGCAAATTCAGAAACACCAGATGTTAAAGTACAGCAAGCTCAATTTAAACATTGAAAATATTTAATATAAAGACTGCTATTGGACTTTACTTAAAAATACTTGTTTTCATGAATTTGTTAATTTTGATAATTTAGATTTTTTTTCCTTTGCAGAACATGATAATCCTGCTGAAAATAAGTTTAGTGAGAACAACTACTTTCTACTGTAACGCAGGATCATTGTCTGCAAAGAACAGCGTAGGAAGGCACATGATGATGGATAAAACTTCAATATGTAATTAACTAAAAGTCACCTAGTACAGCAAATGTTTCAATTCTTGCCACATACTAAACATATATAATAGAACCTTTTACAGACAAAACTGGCACATTAGAAAAACTACTCAAAGTTGTGTAATGGAATAAAAGCTCCTTGAAATTTGTACACAATAAATGAGGTATTTGATAAACTTTTAAAGAATTCTTAAATTAATTATCTACTGAAAGACCTTTATGCAAAATTTATACACGTTTAAATTAAAATGTTAAGCATGTACAGACTAAACTTATAATGTATACCTGTACCCATAAGCTATAGCTATGACTTAGTCGCCATCACAGAAACATGGTGGGGTGACTCCCATGATTGGAGTGCTGCAATGGATGGCTATAAACTCTTCAGAAGGGACAGGCGAGGAAGGAGAGGCGGTGGGGTGGCTCTGTATGTTAGGGAGTGTTTCGATAGTCTAGAGCTCAACGATTGTGATGATGATACGGTCGAGTGTTTATGGGTAAGGATGAGGGGGAAGGCCAACGAGGCAGACATCCTGCTGGGAGTCTGTTATAGACCACCCAACCAGGATGAAGAG